GTACTTAATAAACAGACTGTCTCATACCTAATAAATACACTGCCTCGTACTTAATAAACAGACTGTCCCATACCTAATATAAACACTGCCACATACTTAATAAATAGACTGTCCAATATCTAATAAATATACTGCCTCATACCTAATAAATATACTGCCTCATACTTAATAAATACACTGCCCCATACCTAATTAATACACTGCCTCATACCTAATAAATAGACTGTCCCATACCTAATAAATACACTGTTTCATACTTAATAAATACACTGCCCCATATCTAATAAATACACTGCCCTATACCTAATTAATACATTAGTGTAGTTTAGTAATTAGTCTGCAGGGTTCAAAAAGTGCCTTGGTGGAGAAAAAGTTTAAATATAAATAATTATAAATTATCAAAAAATACAAGCCAAACCTAGTTCCAAAACAATTAATTACAAATGAATGTATAGTCTCCTAACTCATCACTGTTATTACACAATGATAATAAAATACTTTTAGTGTAAAGAGTAATAAATATAAACTACTTTATTTTTCTTTACTTGAAACTCTTTTCCAAAGTTTTTGATGTATTAAAAACGTTACTATTATCTGAACAGCTTTATGTAATTTTCGGAAATATGATTTTTTTTTAGATGTTATGAGATCCGTTCGTGAGTCTCGAAACTAACTTGTAAGATTATTTGGTTTATTATGAACACGATGTTATATAATATTTGAAACAATCGAGATCTTACCACAGTAGCAGAAAGTAAGTTAAATGTATAACATTCAGACATTTATGAAATTGAGACGTGACCAACTAGTGAACAGAACAGTTATCACGTGAATTTTATAATGGAAAACTGCGTTCTCACCCAGTTGTCTGAGGTAAAGTTTTGTCATTAATTTTGTTCGTGTAGAAAAATTTCAGTGCTTTTCTTCAAACTTATTTAATTTGTACGTGAAATGGTATAAAATGTTTAAGATTCACTCTGTTTATTAAACAGTATCTTTAAAAACTAACAGTCGAATAATCGACATAACATCATCTAGTAAGTCCTTCTCTTGATCATTTTAAATATAGCCATATTGATGTAGTTGAGAGCATTAAAAACTGATTAGTCGTAAACTAAAGTATTTGTTTGTTTTTTTTTGTGCAAAAACTCAATCTGTAGCGAAAAATGATCATTAATTCCCAAACACTCATCATACAATGATCCACAATCTCCTACTTTGTAAATTATCAAACGATGAATTGTATTTTTACTAATTTTTCCTTAGAGTTATTTTCAGCATAACTTTTCAAATCCTCTTCGTCTTTAAACCTTTCGTGTTTTTGTTTGTAGTCATTGTAATTGTTCCTGGTCTTTCCATATCTAGGCCATCTAGATGCATATTCGAGTGCTGTTTTTATGGTAGAAGTATCGTCTGTAATGACAAATGCAGAGAGAATGAAACTCATGGAACAAACCTTGTTCGTCATCTATGTACCTTATGTGTCGGTAGTACCATTAGCTTACGTTATATATTTAATATATTAACATAGTTAAGTCCGTTAAGGGAATCAAACAACCATCGATAGTACCATTAGCTTACGTTATATATTTAATATATTAACATAGTTAAGTCCATTAAGGGAATCAAACAACCATCGGTAGTACCATTAGCTTACGTTATATATTTAATATATTAACATAGTTAAGTCCATTAATGGAATCAAACAACCATCGATAGTACCGTTAGCTTACGTTATATATTTGATATATTAAGATAGTTAAGTCCATTAAAGGAATCAAGCAATCGGCTTGGGTAATAAATAGCCCACTCATTCGGTACAGCAGTATACTTAAAACATTTTTCTTCATTTAGAGAAGTAGAGTTAGAGAGAGGGCAAATTGATTTTGTGTCGTTTAATTTGTTTATATAGTTATTTCATTTGGTACTAATAGAACACACTCCTTGTTTCTAAAGTCGTATTTCTTATTTCACCCAGAAGTTGTACTCACTTTGATAGCATTTATTGAGTAGTGATTTAGTAGTGTATAACTTGATCTAAAATATGATATTTTAATAGAAGGAGAAATTATTGCCGCTAACAGAAATTAAAATAGCACGGACAGACTAACATAAAAACATAATCGCCTAATTATCGTCCGTAAAGCAAGTAGATTGTCCTGGGCTATATTTGAATGTTTACCCTACTTTTCACACAAATTACTTTGATTTAAAATATTTATTTGTTTACATGTTTTAGATTAGGTCATTTAAAAATAAAACTACAACCTGAATTTTAGCAAGTTAACTTGCAGGACTATATATGATAATTATTTATGTTTATTTCTCAAATTACATCATGAAGTATATAAAGCGATATTAGGAATAGTAAGATAACATGAGTGAAAAAAATCGAATGATTTGTATTAGTTATTATATAGGTTTTTATTAATGATATTCGGACACTACCTGATGAAGAGTACAGGTCGGAAACGTTGTAAAAATACATTCTAAAATTAATTTCATCTGTGAACTTAACACGAGTAATACCAATTATTGGACTATTTGCGTAGCTGTTTTCTATTTGAACTTTTGGCAGCTGCTCGTTTGAATATTATGAGAAATGCTATTCATAAAATAGGTATCATGAAGAGAATACTGGTTTTTTATCATGAGAATTGTTGCACATAGAATAACTCTTATAGAAAGAGTTCCTTTACTAAGTACGATGAGAAACACTGCTCCTAAAATAAGTGTCATGAAGACTGCTAGTCCTGATTATTTACTACGAATAGTGCAGTTTCTATAATAGAATGTGTACCATGAAGATAGCCTCTCCTTTGTTAAGTACCATAAGGAATGCTGTACCTAGAAAAAGTATCATGAACAATGGTTCTTCTGGATTATGTACTACCATAATGACTCTGCTCCTTTGTTTTGTATCTTGACTTAGTGTTGGTACTGTAATCTGCACCATATTAGGTAGGGGTAAAATACACCTAATTAGTGTTGTAGGAGATAGAATCCATATTAGTTTTAATATATAGTTCTCCTTATTGCAGCACATAAACTTTATCAATATTAGTTTGATTGTTTGTGTTCTTCATATATAAATCTCCTTATTGCAGCACATAAACTTTATTTATTGACAAAGAATATACTTCAGTGGCGGCGAATAAGAAATAATATATATACAATATATATACTTCTAAGCTTTTCAAGGAATTTATATATGTTGTATTGCATTTGATTATGAAGTTAAAGACTAAAATTAATTCTTGAAGAAGTCACAAGTAAATGGCCTTTGACCTGTTCTTCAAACACTGTTTGAACATGTCTTTTTTTTTTTACTTCTAGAAACAGCGAACTTTTCCAAA